TGTAAAAAAAAAAAAAAAAAAAAAAAAAACACAACAAAGATATATAATAAAATTTAAAAAAAAAAAGAAAAATGGTTGAAATATATAAAATGCAACTCATGCAAGATTGAGCGAGCGAGCGAGCGAGGGAAGAAGGGTTTTCGTCGTCGGTTATCGACTGAGCACCATTCACCAAGTTGGAGAGCGAAGAAACGTAGAAACAAAGATGTTTTGTTCAATCCCATTTCACTTATCTTCATCTCCTTCCAGGTAACCCTAATCACCCTAAACTTGGTCGTTCTTCCATGTCTAATCCTTCAATATCTCCATCATTTCGTAGATCTTAGGAGCTTAGAACTCCAATTCGTTTAAGGGTATTCCAAATCTCTAATTTTTCACCAATTTGTTCTCAGACATTCGATTGCCTGCTTATAACTGAACTGCTCCTTATCTGACTGTTCCGTGAAGTCTCGATTGAATGTTTAGCTTTTTGTTGTTTTGATGGAGTGTAGGGCTTAGCGCAGTGAACGGGACTTGACGGTGGATAGGAATGTTATCAATTGTTATTATTAGCAGAAGTCTAGCGGCGTACTAGGAATGTTATTATCATGGCACAGCAGTCGTCTCGACTTCATCGTCTTCTTACTCTCTTGGACAGTATCCTTGTTCTTGTTCATATTTTTTTTTAATGAAACTGTACGCTTAATTGTTGTATTTCCATTGAATTTCACTTTTGAGTTGGGGTTTTTTCTTAACGGAATCCCAATAGCTGGTTCAACACAAGCAACGAGATTTACTGCAGCTCGGCAGTTGGGGGAGATTGCGAAATCCCATCCTCAGGACTTGACATCTCTTTTGAAAAAGGTCATAATTTGTTGAGGTTTCATTTGATATTGTTGTTTGCTTGGGCCGCATACTTTTGTGCAATGGATTTCATTATGTTGAATTAGTTTTTAATCCTAAGTTTGTTTAAACAGGTATCTCAGTATTTACGCAGTAAAAATTGGGATACACGGGTTGCGGCTGCCCATGCGATTGGGGCTATTGCACAGAATGTTAAGCACACATCTGTGTCTGAGCTCATTGACTGTGTTGGACTAAAGATTTCAGAGGCTGGCTTGTCTGGTACTATCGAGGATGTCCTGGCCATGCCTGATTTGCAGTCTGCATTTAAAAGGTTTCTTTTTTATCTCCAGAGTTCCTAATTTATGCAAATGCTGACCATGTTGCTTGTTTACTGACCGAATGCTGCATTTTCTTCATAACAGTTTTGATATGAATAATGTGCTTGAATTTGGCGCCTTGGTGGCATCTGGAGGACAGGTGATCTGTCTATTTTAGTAGCTTATTTTTCTTGGGTACAAACTCATGAACATGCACTTTTTGTGCAAATATATGTATTTCTGTTTGTTTCTTAAGTTAAAAAAGATACAATATTTTTCATTGATGAAATCAGAACTACAAAAGCGTACCTGTATATTACAATGGAACCAAAAATAGGAAAAATTACACAATTCCGAACCCTATAAACTTGATTGAAAACAGAAAACTATAACAATTACCATGAACTTTACTAATAACAACGGTATAACCTTAGGAATTGTGAAATTTTATAGCAACTACTCCTGTTTTCCAAAAAGCTTTCAACTTAAAGTCAAGCTTTCATTGCGAGAGGTGAAAGAATACAAAGAGGTGTAAAAATAAGGCCCAAAGGAAGGAGCCAAACTAAAGGGGCTCCAAGTTAACTAAATAAGATCTGAGTAATTAAAAAACCTCGGTCACCAATGCCAAATGAGAAGCTTGGAGCTTAACTAGAGACTAAACCCCTCCCAAGAACTCTTGAACCCTCTAGAAATCCTGTTGTTTGTCTTGGCTTAAAGCCCCACAAAATTGCAAAGAAGTTGGCATGCCATAAAAAGTCTCTTATCACAAAAGGTAAGCGAAGAACACCAAAGCTGTACAAGCTCTAGGGTGAGCCAAATAAACACTTGAGGTCTAAAAAAAATCATTCCACACTGATGAAGTGAACTAACAATTTCAAAGGAGGTAATCAAGGTCCTATGCTACTCCCCTACAAAGAATACAACACTGCAACAATATCAAAGCAGGCATGTACCTTGAAACAAGATCCAAAGTGTTAACCTTACTATGATAAGAAGTTGACCTTCTTGGGAATTTTAACCTTCCAAAGCATGAAAAAACTGTACAACATTGGGGAAGAAAGGATCCACCAAACAAGAAAAAAGGTATGCAAGAAAACCCTTCAAAAGAACTTGGACCCAAAGACAGATATCCCTTCTACTCGCACTAACAACAATATGGGAACCCTTCCCCTCATTGACCTCTTCCTTTGAAAATTCCTCCTATGTTCTCTACTCTTTCTAATAGATATGAAGATCCTAAACATATATAAGAAGTAGGTAAGAATCGTACTTAATACAGACTGTACCATTTTGCTTTGATGTGGAACTATAAGGTTGCTGAAAGTATGTCTTGCTTGTTGACCTCTTATTCGCTCGTTTTAGGGTTCTAACGTCCTTTGTCCGATAGCAACAGATACTGCTGCCCTCATGATTGTGGAGTTTTGTTGTAATCTAGGGAGAATGGATGTTTGCATTTGGAGTCCTTGTCCTTCCTTCTTGTAAATCCTTCTTTCTTTGTTTGGTCAACCAATCCCTCAAGAGCCTCTCTTTTCCTCGTGGAAGGTGGAAATTCCAAAGGCAATTCAGTTTTTTTTTTTTTTTGTATGGTAGGTTCTCATGGAAAACTTAACACCTTGGATTGGGTTTCAATGATTGGGCTGTTGTGTTGCATGGTAGGTGGGTTGTTGGGAGCCTTGATCGTATCCTTTGGAGTAGTGACTTAGCCCATGCTGTTTGGAGTCATTTCTTTGAGGAGTTTGACTTAACCTTGGTCAGACATAGGGGTTGCGGAGGAGATGGTTGATGAGTTCCTTCTCCACCTCCTTTGCATGAGATGGGAAGGATTTCGGGGCAAACTGAGCATGTGCTGTTTTGTGGTGCATTGCGGGTGAGAAAAGCAACACAATCTTTAGAGGGATTGAGAGGTCTTTGAGTGGCGTTTGACTTTTATTAGGTTCAATGTCTCTTTGTGGGTTTTGGTGGCGAATTGTTTTTGTAATTATTTGTTAGGTCTTGTTTTACGTGATTGGAGGCTCTTTCTTTAGGTTGCCTCCGTTTGTGGGCTCTATTTTTTTATGTGTATTTTTTCATTTTTCTCAATAAAAGTTTGTTATTGATAAAAGAAAATTGACCTAAAGGGCAAAGGGCTGGTGATCACCTTGTCTAACACCTCTTGAAGCTAGAATCCTCCTTCTCAGGTTACTATTAATGAGGATGGAAAAATTGACTGTCCTAACGTTTCTTCTAATCCAAGATCTCCATTTACAATGACAACCTTTCTTCCCAATTACATCATCTAAAATGTCCCGACCACCGTGGTCTTAAACCTTGTCAAAATCTATCTTGAACATGACTCCTTCATGCTTACGACTTCTATAATTTTGGTTAGCTTTGTTAGCTATAGGAGTTTCAAAATCTGCCTACCTTCAATAAAGGCACCTTGGAAATCAGAGAATAGGGAGGAGCTTTCTTTATCTATCTGCCTATCACCTTGGCAATGATTTTATTAATACTAGCGACCAAATTGATGGGTTCGAAATCCTTGACCCTTGTAAGTTCCTAATCCTATCTTTTTTTAAATACAAGATGAACAAAAGTTTCATTTTGAGGATTCTACAGGATCCTTCACTCATAAAACTCACAAAACACCTTCCAAAAATCACTCTTAATATAGTGCCGGCTATCTGGAATGAAAGCCATAGCAAAACCATCTTGACATGGGGCCTTATCCACTGGGGAGCTTTCCCACTGGCGCTGGCTTCTATGGAAAAAGGAAATTCCAACTTCAACCTGTCCTTCTTCAAGTGGGATACCAATCTAGGCCTTCTAGAAAAGGCTGGGAAGAACCACTGAGCATAAAGACAGAAAAAAGGAGGACAATTGATCTTCTTGTCCCCACGTAAGGTTTCACCGTTAGCATTTTCTTGAGGCGCAATGGTGTTTTTTCTCTGCCTATTTTCCAATTCCCTTCTTTAGCCTGTCTTACCTTCTCTTATGTTACCTTCACTTTATGTCTCCAATTGAGACCCTCCTCCCTCCTTATGAACGTCTCAAACTTTTAACTTACAACTTGAAAACAGACCATCAGCATAAAAAATGTAATCCAAACTTCAAGTTCCAGAACATTAACCAGCAAGAAGAACCTCCAAGAGCTGCTTACTTATAAGCTAGGAACGTATTCAAATACCCTTTTAACCCACGCACCAAAAACTTGTGAACACAATTGAAGGAACAAAACACTAGCACAGGAGACCAATAGAACAAAGTTCGTATGCATAGTGTGCTAGGAAACTTCTTCCCCCCGCCCCCCCACCTTTTTTTATGACAGCAACAAAAAAATTAATTCGTCTTCTTTTCTCTCTTTCTTCAGCTTTTTTTCTTTAATTTTTTAATTTTTGATTTTTTCATTCGGCTTCTCTCTCGTTTCTCTTTCTGACAGCCCTCTATTGGAACCCAAACCACACCTACCCCCACTAACATCCTTTCTTAGTACAAACAAGCTCCCTAATTTTCTCAAATCTTAACATCATCTAAATCACCCCTCGAATCTTCTACTCATTTATTTCCGCTATTAATATTTTTTACTGTTGGTTTTCAGCGTCCCACTTAATATCTTATATATTTTAATACAAGTTGCTATTGTAATGGCCCTTGAATTGAAGCAGTATTGGGATGGGGTTATTTCATTTCCCCTCCAATATATATATATATATATATATATATATGTATGTATGTATGTATGTATGTATAAAATATTAGTTGATAGAGGATTTCAGTGATTGGCCTGATCATACTGTACATTGTAAAATATTTCTGAACTGATTGCGAAAATAAATAAAAAGTTGAAAGTTTCCAGAATTTAGATTTCTGGATGATGTATTGCAATAAAGCAGGAAAGACTAACTAATCTGATAGGTATGTGGATTGATTTTAAGATATACCTTGCAGGAGTTTGATGTCACCAGTGAAAACATCAAGAGCCCAAAGGAGCGTTTGGCTCGTCAAAAGCAAAATCTTCGTCGTCGTTTAGGTTGGCATACACACACACACACTCATGTATTTGAAAATTATTGATATACTATAGAAGATTATATTATAGATCTGTAATTATCTTGATTGGAGATTTCTTTGGTAGGTTGCCTCCTTTTGTGAGATTTCTTTTTGTCAGTTATCTAGTAGAAGATTATATTATAGATCTGTAATTATCTAAATTATGTTTATATAAGTAATTGAATAATGTAAATAACATAACGTGACTTTATTAAAAAATTGTCACTAATATATGTGTGTGTGTGTATATATATATATATATATAAATATCTTTTAATAATCAAAGCAATTATATTGGAAATTCCTAATGTTTTGAGCATGAAATATACAGAAGTATAACAAATATAATCTCTGTTGGGAAGAAAGGGAGTACTGACAAGATGACTTGGGTTTAGCACACTTAATAGCTAATTAGTAAGAGGAAAAATAATAACACCTTGTAGCTGGTTCTGATCCCTCACTATCCGGGTAAGATATGTTTCCTTATATTAATCCAATTTTCCCATAGAATCAAAATGACAACATCAATCCATGTCTGGTATTTGCATACCTTCCATCTATGACCATAGAACTTTTTCGGAGATTAAATCTTAGACCCTGCTTAGTGGGAAAAGTTGGTTTCCAACAAAGGCTTGAGAACCGTGCCGAGGACACCACCAAAGAGCAGAAAAGGAAAAGGTGATTCAAATCCTCTGTGCTGCCTTGCAACACTGATTCTGAGTAGGGAGAAGTTAGGATTTCACATTTGAGAAAGCTAAAATTGCACACACATCCTAAATTTAGATTTAATACACGAGAATTTTAACAACAATAATGATAATAATAATTATTAAATGTAAAATTTCCTAGCCTAGCAAGCTACATTATGCCAAAACTACTACCAAAAAAAAAAAAAAAAAAAATCATGCTGTGTAATGATGGTATCAGATGTATTCATACCACCGAGTAAAATTGATTTTATCTAATTATTTGTCTTTGTGCTTCCGTAATCTAAGATTTTTGGAGTTTCCCCAATATTGATTCAATATCCTACATGCTTTAAATAATTTGAAATTTGTACCTTATTTTTCATCTTGTTCCACCACTCGTACTTCATTTCCTTTTTTTAGTGTTTGTTTTTCTTGGTACAAGTCCTTTATTATGTTTTCTTGTTAGCAAATCTCTTCCCTTTTGCACAGGTTTGGATGTGTGTGAGCAATTCATGGATGTCAGTGACATGATAAGAGATGAGGACCTTATCTTGGACAAAGTTAACATGCATGGTAATGGTGGAGACAGGCAGATGTATCCATCGAAATCAATACATAATATCCAACAGTTCGTTGCTAACATGGCCCCGTATCTTGTATCCAAAAGGCCCAGTGCTCGGGAAAGGAACCTTCTGAAACGAAAAGCAAAAATAAACTCGAAGGACCAGACAAAACACTGGTCTGAGGAAGGAGAGACAGATGTAGCAGGCACCCAACTAGTGGAAACACCAAGGGGCTCAGGTCCGGACTTATTAAGTTCACAAAAGGTACTATCTTTCTATTATCTCCTTGCATACACCAAGGGGCTCAGGTCCGGATAAATACTTTTTTTTTTGGTTCTTTGAGGCTTCTTGTACTTTTCTTAGTCTTCTTTCCTTGTGTCAAATGCATGTATCAGTATTGTTTGTTTTCTATGCTTTTCTGGTATTTAGATGTAGTTATATAATTTGCTGGAGTTAATACTGTTACAAGAGGATGCTGGACAGCAGTGGATCTCTTACCTGCAAATCTATGTTTTTAAGGCCTTGAAATGGAGGAATCCTAGACAACTCGTTTGTCAAGCCCACTTTCCTTAAATAAGCGAAATAAACACTGCTTACCGAACTATTGTGCCTAAAAATATCTTGCTTACCACAGCACTACGACACAATGCGGTGTCGTTTACCTTACATAGCATTGTCTCGTCATTGCCGCCAAATTTGTAGAACAGCCCATGAAATCTAGAGCCATTTGTTCATCACTTGTCATTATGCAGTCAGATTTTGGAAGTAGATATCTACCACCTTTAGTGGTTTACAAGTTACCTAATGACCTCAAAAACCTTCTTATTTACACTCTTAATGTACGTTTGTTTTCTGATGGGAAGAAGGTTCTTGGGAACTTTTTCTTATTTGAACTTTTTGTGAACAACTTGGAAAGAATGTAACAGTCGCCTCTTCAAAGAAAATGAAAGTCCTATTGAAAGTTATTTTGATCAAATTCTATTCCTAGCGATTTCTTGGTATAAATGCATATCTTTTTTATAACTCTTATAGTCTCTACACTTTTGACCAATTGGATAAATCTTTTGTGACCCCTTCGTTTTGGATTTTGCAATTCTTTTGTAAATTGCATACATTAATGAAAAAGTAATTTTATGGGGATGGTTGATGTGAATGAATCTTCCTACGAAATTTAATGAATGGAAAAATATAAGGATTTTGACTTATCTTCTCTGCTTGATGTCACTATTTCTTTTGTTGTACTCTTAGACACTTAGCCATTTCTAAGATTTTGATGTGGGGAATGTGAAAATAATTTGAGGGAAACGTAGTGATTTTAAATGACCTTGCATTTTCTATGAAAAATGGGACTACGTAAAAATACTTGAAGGAGGTATGACTTTGTGCAGTCATGTTATATTTTCTTTCCTTTATCTATCTCCATATTCTTCTATTTTCCTCCCCTTTTGCAAAGCTATCGGAGTGAAAATAAAAGAGATCTATCTTATATGAAAAAAAGTGGTAGTTAGTGATGCCTATGATTATATTACTGTGTGCTTCCATGGTTTGATGATAGCTGTAATATAAAGTTCTTAATATATGATGGCTGCTCGGTTGTTCTGACTGAATTAGTTAATTTTGGTTTGCTTACCTATAATTTTCTTTTTGATCATCAACTTTCCATTCATCTGTCGATTATATTGCAACTTCTATATGTAAAGTGAAAGTGAAATAAATGTTGGCGATCCATCTGCAGGCAGCTGTGAGTGTAAATAATGATGATGATTTTGGTGATCATGATGGTGATGGACAATGGCCTTTCCATAATTTTGTTGAGCAACTTCTTCTTGATATGTTTGATTCGAGTAAGAATTTTCATATTACTTTAAATGTTGGATATACTGACAGTAATTTCTGTTTTCCTGAGTTCCCTTGTTTATTTTTAACCTTTTTAAAATATCAGATTGGGAAGTTCGTCATGGTAGTGTGATGGCCCTGAGAGAAATCTTAACTCATCAAGGAGGTTGTGCTGGAGTACTGTTGCCTGATTTGGTCGTGGACAGTTCTCCATTGACCACGTTAGAAGATGGAAGTATGCCAAATAAGCTAAAGCGCGAAAGGGACATTGATTTAAATATGCAATTGACGGAGGATGAATTTGAGTTCAAACTGAAAAGACCCAAGTTTGAAGACGCCTTATGTCCACCTGTCAATCCGATGGTTTGTGCCCACGAGGATATTAAATTGGGGATAAGTGTGAAGGTTGAAAATGATGATAGGCCTTTGCCTGATGATCAGTCTGAAGCTCAATTTAATGTTTGCTCTGTAAAGGTGGAGGATCATCCCAATGGTTCATATTTGCATAAAGATACATCTGAAGCAGCAGCCGAGGAGTGCCCTGATAATAAATTACCTTCAGAGGGTACTACTATGCTCAAGAACTTTTCTGAAAATCACGAGCTGAGGAATTTGGTTAAATTGACTAGGCATTCTTGGCTGAAGAATTTTGAGTTTCTTCAAGACTGCGCGATTCGTCTATTGTGTATATTACTTCTCGATCGGTAGGCTGTTTATTTCTTACTTGACTATAATTTTCTAAGTTTATCTTATCATTTTTTGTGGGTCCTTTGCATTTTTTGAGTTTAGAGACAAATATTTTCCATTTGCTGAGGGATGCTGTTTTCTCTCTCTCTTTCTCTTCCATATATTTTGCAGTTTTGGAGATTATGTATCAGATCAAGTCGTAGCCCCTGTGCGTGAAACCTGCGCTCAAGCATTGGGTGCAGTGTTCAAGTACATGCATCCTTCACTAGTTAATGAAACGCTAAATATCTTGCTGCAAATGCAGGTAAGTTTCAAGTACATGTTCAATTTTTGTAAATATGGTATTCTTGCTTAGGAGTATGCTCGATTTTGTAAAACAATCCAACTCTAAAACATCTGTATGTTGTTTTAACGTTACTTTTATTCCTCCATTCAGTTCAGACAGGAATGGGAAGTTCGTCATGGGAGTCTTTTAGGCATAAAGTATTTGGTTGCTGTACGGAAGGTATATTTTCATTACTACTTGTATGTCTGGCAGCTTTTTCTATTGTGTGGGTTTCATGATTTAGGATCGGTCATTGTCATTGTATATTTGTATCTAAATAGAATCCTTAAACCTCAGAATGCTTTATGCATGAAAGGATGGCCTTGAGGGTAAAGGTCAGATAAGGGTTAATTTTTTGGTTTGAAGCTTGACCTTTAGTTAAAAAGTTAAAAGAGGGGCTTAAGTATAGGAAAGATATCTAAGAAAGTCATTGAAGTCGATCTTATGATTTTGTAGGGGAGAGACAGCACGGGACTAGTATTATTCCCAATTACATCATTGAGCAGCTAATAATAATAAGAATGCATCCCCTGTAATCCAATGACAAATCTCCTTGTTTGGATTGTAGTTGGTGGTCCCACCAACTTAAGTTTCTTTCCTTTATGTGGTCCCATGTAATCAAAGAGGTCGTGTACATTTGTTATCTGTTCTAAATATTCTTCTTTGTCTAATATTGCGTTAAGATTGAGTAAGCTCACAATTTGCACCCTCCCATGCTCAGTCGTTGGAGCTTCTTGTCTTTGTTCTTTCTTTGAATAATTGGAGTCATATCCCAAGAGCAGCTCTTGCTGTATGATCCTGTGTCCTTTGTATTTGATGCCATTCCTCTTGGTATCATAGCGTGATGGTCTATGTTACACTTCTCTTGTGGCATTCTTTTGTCTTGCATCGTAGATAAGTCATAGAAGCTGGAAGTAGCTAAGGACCTTACAAAATGAAACAAAGGCTCCAATTTTAAAAAATTAAAACTTGGAGGATAATTAAAAAATCCTTAGTCAATATATATATTTTGGATGACAGAAGAACTTCATTATCAACAAAAGAAAAACATACAACCTAATGGCCCTAGGGATGAGAGGTTCCTAAGCCTAATTAGAGGATCCTAATAAAGGGCTTCCAATCTAAATGGATGAGCATGCTTTGAGTGTTACAAAAAGGAATGTGTAGCACTCCAAGAGGAGGTTGTAAACTATACATTTTGACAAAAAGGATCACAAGATGTCTTAGCTGAGTATCTGGTGTGTTTTTTCCCGTCCAAATCAACCAAGGAAGTGATCTGCCAGCATTATTCCAAGAAAGGAAGTCTAAAAATTCTCCTTTCTTTCCTGCCAATTCTCTGTAAAACCACATAAAATTAGCATGTCAAAGAATATGCCTTTTATCTTGAAAGGTTGGATGGAATAAAATATATTACGACAATTGCCTGAGTCAAGCCATGCACACGCTTGGTCTCTAAAAAGGCATTCAAATCGATAAAGCAACCTTGCATTTCCACAGATATGGTCAAAATCTTCATATGCTTCCTTGCAAAGTAAGCACTAGTGCAGCCCCAGTCACAACTATGAGTGTTTAAGTACAGTCCATAGTTTTGGCTCTTCCTCATGTAATCTTCTTGGGAATATTTAACTTCGACAAGAAGGAGAATAGGATCTTTAGTTGTAAGGTAGTTTCTGAAATAGAGAAGGAAAGAACGACCATAAAACCTTTTTGAGGGTTTGGGTGACAAAAAATGAATATATCTTCGACCTGACGTAGATGGACATATTCTAGAAGAGAAAGGGGAGCAGAAGAAAGGTTATCTGTGTCAAGTGGAAATCTTGTAATCTTGATGGCTTTATGAGGACTTTTTCTCCTTTCTTTTTATTAATGAAAGGATATTTCTTTAAAAAGAAGACTTTTTGTTACAAAGATATTATTCATGGTAATATTATGAGCTCTAGTATTGTTGTTTACGCTTCAATCTGTCATCTTACTGCTTTTCTGTTTGTGCCAGGAACTTCTTCATGATTTGCTTTCACGCATTCTCCCTGCATGTAAAGCAGGGCTTGAGGACCCAGATGATGACGTTCAGGCAGTTGCAGCTGATGCTTTAATTCCGGCTGCTTCTTCTATTGTTTCTCTCAAGGGTCAGACCTTGCATTTAATTGTGATGCTGCTCTGGGACATCCTGCTTGATTTGGATGATCTAAGTCCATCCACCAGCAGGTAACGGTTAAACATAAGGCCCATGTCTGTGTTGGTAGAATTCATGCGATTTAAAAGATGTTATTCTTTTGAATAAGCTTGTTCACCAATTGTGCAATTAGAAGTCTACTTTTTAACTTTCCTGGCTGAGGCTTGGGGGAGTATCTTATCCTTCCTGCCATCTTTTGTACTTTTTGCACATTTATATGATTTTGTTTGAAAAAAAAAAAAAACTATTGGTTTTTTTCCCTTATTGTAGCTGTACTCGTTCATCTTGTTTCAAAATTGAGAGTTTTGGTCACTATGGTGAGATATTAAGGGCAAAGACTTGAGAGTTTGGGTCACTGGAGTGATATACAATCATGTTACTTGATGTGTTGGTTGTGGATTGTTTAGAAGAAGAGTATCTGAGTAAAGGATCTTTGTGGGTGGATGTCATACTCGCTGCATTGTGGGTAATTTGGATGAACGTAAGAGAACTTTTGAAGCCAAGTTATGAAGATTCTTTTTTGTCGTGGAAATGAGTCAGCTTCTTGGGCATCCTCTTTGCAATTCTTGTAATGAATCATTTCTGATTTTCAAGACACATTACAACGGAATCACCCCTCCAACTTCTAACTTCTTGGTCTTTGCTTTCCAATCATATGCTGTGCTTGCTACATTCAATATTCATTGCTTTGAGTTGAATATACCCTTTCTTCATGGTGAACTTGCACAAATCTTTTCCATGTTTTGTTTCTTAGAGAGTGATTGTCACTATTGTTAATTTAGTTGTTGGTTGGGATTATGATAATAGTTGTTGACTCTGAAAGACGAAAATGCATGATGAAATTATTGGTTTAGATATGATTCAATTCATTTGAAGTGACTTTTATGCTATAATTTATCCTTGTCATCCCATCAATAATTGTCTTATGGCTTTCTATTTATTATGCAGTGTAATGAATCTTTTGGCCGAAATCTATTCCCAGAAAGAGATGATTCCAAAGATGTTTGAGGCATTAATTTTAAGAGAGACCCAAGAGTTTGATCTAAATGGAGCTATTCATGTGCATGAGACCCCAGAAGGAATACGTTCGCAGGAAAATCCATATGCATTTGCATCATTGGCGCCGAGGTTATGGCCATTTATGAGGCACAGTATCACATCAGTTCGTTATTCAGCTATCCGCACTTTGGTACACTTTCTCTGATGTTTACTCTCTAAATATTTTCCATGGAAGATTTGTAAATAGTTTTGTACAATTTTCTTATTTCACACGTTGCTGTATTATAATAATTTCATTTCTTTCATCAATAAATATTCATCTGTACAGGAACGGTTGCTAGAAGCAGGATTGAAACAAATAATTTCTGTGCCTTCTACTTCCATTTGGCCGACAACCATTTTAGGTGACACCCTTAGGATTGTGTTTCAGAATTTGCTTCTAGAATCAAATGATGATATTTTGGAGTGCTCAGAGCGAGTTTGGAGGCTCCTCCTCCAGGTTCTTACTTTTGCTTTAGTTTATTACTATTGTTAGTTTTTATGATTTTTCATTTTTGAAGTGATTTAAAATCATAATTTCACTCGAATCATGAATTACTAATTACATGATAATTGACTTCTTATGTCTTCTTTTCTTTATCCTTATAATGTAAATGAAGTGTAGCATAGTCTCTTACAATGAAAAAATTATGTAAGTTTGTGATTGTAATAAATTTCATTGTGGTTTTATTGCCGGCTGGACTTGGTTCTACCCTAGTAATCTTATGTTTTTTCTTTGTATCCAACTAATCTTCTAGTCCCAAATAATTGGAAATGGCTCTTTATTTCTCATGGTTTATTTGTAATTGTTGCGTTTGTTTACGTGTGTCTATGCTATATACATTTTTGTATGCGTTTATGCAAGCCTACAAAAGGTAAAAGCTAGTTGTAGTTGTTGGTATATAACCCTAAAGTTAACTAATGAGGTGGTATCCCTTCCTAATTCTTGGCATATACTTCCTTCAATCAAACAAATCCCATCTCCCTTTTCCATTAAAAAGACAGACAGACAGAAAGAAAGAAACACCCACACACAACACACACATCTAGTTCCCTTTAAAGAGTTCTTTAGCGGGTTTCACTGAAGTTATCAATGTTGGTCATGAGAAATTTGGTTTGGAAGAGGAAAACTGTTCAAGAAATTTATTGGAATTTGTGACATTATTGGGATTCTGTCCTTAAGTGGAGTTTTCTAGGTCAAATTTTGATGATTTTGTGCTCCTTGGTTGTAGTCAATTGGAGCGTGCACTTGTAATTTGCTATGGCCCTTGGTTACTCTTGTATCTTCTTTTTCATGCTTTTTCGTAGGTCAACAAATGTTTTAGTCCATAGATTTTGGCGTTGTTTTTGCCCCCTTGTATTGTAGATGATCAATCTTTTGAAGCTTTCCAATTATTTTTCCTTTTCTTGTTTGTATAAAGGCAATTTCTCATTCCTCTTTGTCCCCTTTTATCAATATATAATGTGTTTTTGATCCTTGATTGTACAAAATTTAGATCTGCTGACAATACTTTTATTTTCCTTGTATTAGTCTCAAGTGAAGGAATTGGAACTTGTGGCAAGGTCACATGTTTCATCCTGGTTGGAGCTTGCAACAACAACATACGGTTCTGCATTTGACAGTTCAAAATTATTTTGGCCAGTAGCGCTTCCTAGAAGAAGTCATTTTAGGGCTGCTGCTAAAATGAGAGCTGTAAAACTTGAAAATGAGTCTTCCAGCGGAGTTGGCATGGAGTTGGCAAAGGTAACTATTTCACATGAAAGAAATGGAGATTCTTCGTCCAGTTTTTCTAAGATCATTGTCGGTGCTGATGCGGATATCTCAGTGACTCATACCCGAGTTGTCACTGCAACAGCCTTGGGAATTTTTGCTTCTAAGCTGAATGAGGGATCTTTGCAAGATGTAATTGGTCCATTATGGAATGCTTTTAAATCCTCATCTGGAGTCCAGCGGCAGGTACTTTAAAGTTTTGATCTCAGTTTTTCCTTCCTTGTTTCTGCCCTTCCGCATAAAAAATTTATCTGATTGCTCACATCCCATTAGGTAGCCTCCATTGTCCTTATTTCTTGGTTCAAAGAGATAAGGAACCAAGAGAAGAACTCTCGAGATCATGGAGTTATTTCTTGGCTGCCCAATTATTTAAGAGAAAGGTTGTTGGATCTGTTAACGTGCTCTGATCCTGCATTTCCTACGAAGGATTCACTACTTCCTTACTCTGAACTTTCAAGGACATATTCTAAGATGCGTGGCGAGGCTACACAATTAGTACGGGCCATTGAGTCATCTGGGATGTTGAAGGAATTCTTTTCGGGTAACCAGATTGACTTGGAGAACCTGACTGCTGATGATGCAATTAATTTTGCTTCGAAAATTCCAACATCGCTTGGAGATATTGATGGAAATGGGTTGGAGGGCAGGCAGGGTATTGATGATATAGAGTCATTGAAACAACGTCTTTTGACAACTTCAGGGTATTTGAAGTGTGTTCAGGTATTTATAAATTTTGAATTTTATAGCTGCATTTTGTCCTATTGATCTGGAATTTTTATGATGTTGCTTTTCCCTCCATTTTACACATTACAATGCAATGAATTATAGGGGTGAAGTTTCCATCATAAACGTGGGTAATCGAACCATGATATATTATGAGCAAGTACACACATTGAATTTTTGCCACTTGAACTAATTCTTTTTCATCATTGTCGGGAGGGTTTTTCTGAACTGTGCTATATGATATTCAGCTAATGGTGTTCATCATGCCACTTCATGATTAGGGCTTGGATAGATTTTTGTACTTCTAATTAATCTTTCTCAACATTCCATTTTCCTTTTTTGGAAAATTCCCAGGGTAATTTGCATATCTCGGTTTCTGCAATGGTTGCTGCTGCAGTTGTTTGGATGTCTGAGCTTCCAACCAGACTTAATCCAATTATTTTGCCTTTGATGGCTTCCATAAAAAGAGAGCAGGTAAATATTTCCTGATGTAAAAACATAGCACCCAGAGACATATATTATGAATAGATATCACAATATATCATTTTGAATTACTTGAAGGAGGAAATACTACAACAAAAAGCAGCAGACGCACTAGCAGAGTTAATTTGTCAGTGTGTTCTACGTAAACCTGGGCCAAATGATAAGTTGATAAAAAATATTTGTACTTTGACCTGCATGGACGCTTCTGAAACACCTCAAGCTGCAGTTATTTGCTCCATGGAGGTAATTGATGAGCAAGATATTCTTTCTTCTGGGACTAGTACGAGAAAATCAAGAACAAAAGTTCATACACTGTCTGGTACCGATGATCGATCAAGAATTGAGGGTTTTATTAGCAGACGTGGTTCTGAACTTGTTTTAAGGTGTCTCTGTGAGAAGCTTGGGGATGCATTATTTGGGAAGCTTCCGAAGCTTTGGGATTGTCTTACAGAAATATTGTTGCCTACTACTACTGAAAATGTTACTGCTGAAGATGAACAGAAAATAATGCACACCATTGAATCTGTGAAGGATCCTCAGACCTTGATAAATAACATCCAGGTTACTCTTAAAACTCAACTAATTCCCTAATAATTGATGAAAGTCTACTCTTCTTCAAAATGAAATTTTTGTACTTGTATAGTTATTTTCTATTATCTAACCATTTTATTACAGCTCGCAGAAATTATTTACTTTATTATTTCAGTGTGTTAATGCAGTAGATAACTTCAGGTTTTTCTGAAGGATGACAAGGTTAAGAACGTTTTTGAATTATATCAGTGAGTATATTATTTTGGATATGCAGGTGGTACGATCTATTGCTCCAATGCTCAATGAGAAGTTGAAACCAAGGCTACTTACCCTACTTCCCTGCATTTTTGGATGTATTCGGCACTCTCATGTAGCTGTTAGATTAGCAGCTTCTAGATGCATCACTTCCATGGCCAAGTCATTGACCATCGATGTCATGGGGGCTGTGATACAAAATGCCATTCCTATGTTAGAAGATATGAATTCCGTAAATTCAAGACAAGGTGCTGGCATGCTTATTAGCTTGCTTGTTCAGGGAATGGGTGTAGAGCTGGTTTCTTATGCTCCTTTATTGGTGGTTCCACTTTTAAGGTGTATGAGTGATTGTGATCAGTCTGTTAGACGATCTGTGACCCACAGTTTTGCTGCTTTGGTGCCTCTTCTTCCATTAGCACGTGGTCTTCCACCACCTGTTGGACTCAGTGAAGCTTTTTCTAAAAATAAGGAAGACGCCCAATTTCTGGAACAACTACTTGATAACTCCCACATTGAAGATTACAAACTCTGTACTGAACTGAAGATGACACTGAGAAGGTAAACTTGAAAAGTTCTACGTTAAATGGAAAGTAACAATTGCATACTGCAATGTTTCACCGGGGAAAATTTCATAAACCCCAATGTGGTTGACTTCTAACACTTCTGTTATATACCTAGCAATTAGCATTTCAGTTTTCCATCAAACTTTTCTGAATCTAAATGTTTCATTGCCTGTCACGAATTGATTGATTGATAAACTGGCAACTTCCCTTCATTACAATGATGTAGATTTCTAACAGTAGTTTACTATAGTTATTTACGAAGTTAGGACTAATAAATGTATTTTCTGGTTCTTATTTCTTTCGTTGCTCTGATTTTTTTTTTTTTTTTTTTTGCTTTTAGGTATCAGCAAGAAGGGATAAATTGGTTGGCATTCTTAAAACGTTTCAAACTTCATGGAATCCTGTGTGATGACATGGGTCTTGGTAAAACACTTCAGGCATCGGCAATTGTGGCATGTGACATAGTTGAACGCCTCACCTTAAATAATAGAGAAGATATTCCACCATCTTTGATAATTTGTCCATCAACACTAGTTGGACACTGGGCCTTTGAAATAGAGAAGTATGTTGATGTCTCCATACTTTCTACGCTCCAATATGTTGGTTCAGTACAGGAACGGACATCTCTTCGAGATTGTTTCAACAAGTATAATGTCATCATAACGTCATATGATGTGGTGCGTAAGGATGTTGAGTATCTTTCACAATTTCACTGGAACTATTGCATACTAGACGAAGGACATATTATAAGGAATGCAAAATCCAAAATAACCCTTGCTGTAAAGCAATTGAGATCTCAAAATCGTCTGGTACTAAGTGGAACCCCAATTCAGGTTAGTCTGTCCTATCAAAATTATTAATTTACAATAATCAAATTAGTGTTTTATTGTTTTTTATCTGATAAAATTCTCAAACTTCTGTGGCAGAACAACGTCATGGACTTGTGGTCACTTTTTGATTTTCTAATACCCGGTTTTCTTGGAACAGAGAGACAGGTAATGACTCCCTATAGATATGATTTTCGATCATTCAAATTTTGTTTATTTTTGTTATTGCCATGTAATGCTCTGGTTTTATAGATATTTTTGTTTGCAAATTGAAGAATATGAAAAACAAGAATGTTATCTTTGCCCACAAAAAGTCTTCAAACAGGACCGTGAGAGTCAATTTTGTCAATAGTATGACATAATAAACCTTTGAAGGGAGAGTTTCCAAAAAAGGTAATACACCAACGGTAGCAAAAAGAAGGGAAAGAATGAAAGGAATATAACAAGAAATTTCAAAAAGAAAATAATTGAGACCTTTTCTATTTACAACACTCCTCTCAAGCAGGATTGTGTATGTTGAATAAGTCCAGCTTGGTCTTTTAGACTTCAAAAGCTCTCTTGAATATGGCATTTGTAAGAATGTCTGCAATCTGTATCTTGGTGGATATGTAATTAAGCGAGAAGCTTTTGTTTTTAATTTTTTGTTCGATGAACTGAATCAATTTTTACATGATTTATGCAATCATGATGGATCTGGTTTTTTTGGCAATGCGTATAGTAGATTTGGTTCTTCTGAAGTGATTCTTAGTTGTAATAGGATGCTTTTGAGTCATATTCCGTCATATTCCTTGAGCAAGCGCTCTCAATTCTTGTTCAGCGTCACTTCTAGACATGACCGATTTCTTTTTAACTCACCAAGTGACTAAGATTTCCCGAACAGAGGCACAATATCCTGTAGTTGATCTTCTTTCAGTTTTTGAGCTTGCCCAAACGGCATTTGGGAAGATTTCATTCCTGGATTTCTTGAAGTACAATTCCCCTCTACGAGTTCCTTGCTAGTATACGAGAATCCTGTAAACAATTTGTATATTTTTCTCGGTAGTATTGTTCATAAACTGATTTTCAAACCTCAGTTTGAGTTTGGTAAATCAGTTTTCCAACCCGTCTATTATATTGTTCCTTATCAATCAATGTGTTTTCTTTGCCCATGTGGTTATTAGGATCAATGGGAGCATAGAGAGTTTACATCCAAGCTTACTTATTTTCTTTAAAAGATTGATGGCACATTTTCTTTGAGAGACACGAAGATTTCTTACTTCTTCATGGTCTCCTGTAGGCTGTAAGGATAATGTCATCCATATAGATAATAATAATCGCTATTTTCCCTTTGCAAGGATGTTTGATTAAAAAAAAGTGTGATCAGATCGACATTACATGTATACTTTTGTAAAATTTTCAAACCAGGCTCTAGGAGATTGTTTTAGGCCATAATAGAATTTTTCTGTCTGCACACTTTGTTAGTGGTTCTCGTCCATTCCATGCTGGTAGGTATCCACATAAACTTCTTCTAGTTTCCATCGAGGATGACATTTTTTATGTCTAATTGGTGAACTACCCTTACTCCTATCCATCAGAAAAAACCCTTTTCACTAACCAAAAATCTCAAATGCACTCTTATTCTAGTTACTTTTCACCTCTGCCACCTGCACAAAATTTGGTAATTTTTTTCTGCATGCAGTTTCAATCAACTTATGGAAAACCACTACTAGCAGCTAGAGATTCTAAATGTTCAGCTAGGGATGCAGAAGCTGGGGCACTCGCCATGGAAGCATTGCACAAGCAGGTTTGTCTTTTCTTTTTCTCGTGTTACACGCGTATTAGATAATCGCCCTTATGATTTCTATACTTATTTCTATAGGTCATGCCTTTCCTTCTTCGACGAACTAAAGATGAAGTGCTGTCTGATCTGCCAGAAAAAATCATTCAAGACAGATACTGTGACTTGAGCCCTGTACAACTAAAATTATATGAAAGATTCTCTGGTTCTCATGTTAGACAGGAAATATCAAGTATAGTCAAATCAAATGAATCAGAAGTACCACAGGAAAGCAGTGTTTCAACAAAAGCATCTTCACATATATTTCAGGTATGCTCTTTATTTCTATTCTTGTTTCAACTTTGTGTCCCTGATGCATATATTGTTTTTCTGTCTCAGGCACTTCAATATTTGCTTAAACTTTGTAGTCATCCTTTGCTTGTCACTGGAGAAAAAATGACAGATTCAATGAAGTGCCTCCTGACAGAGCTCATACCCGATAGTTCTGACTTAGTTTCTGAACTTCATAAACTGTACCACTCTCCTAAATTAGTTGCTCTCCGGGAAATTCTTGAGGAGTGCGGAATTGGTGTTGATACTTTGAGTTCTGATGGGGCTGGCAGCTTTGGCCAGCACAGAGTCTTGATATTTGCACAACATAAAGTAAATTGCTTGATATTGATTGTTTATTCATTAATCTGAGCTTCTGTTTTTCACTGGGCGATAATTTAATATCTGAGATCTTTCTGCAGGCCTTATTGGACATTATTGAAAGAGATTTATTCCACGCTCACATGAAGAAGTTAGTATACCATCTTTTTTTGCATTCATCAAAGAAGTTAGTTTGTTTTTGTGATTAGTTTTGTGTTCTCTATAGTAATGGAATGCATTAAAGTTATAACAATAGCTGGCTTTAGTGTCACGTGTAGACTATTTTTATTCTTCGTGCCTTTATGGTCAACTAGCACACTGAGCGCATAACCCGTGCCTGTCTTCTCTTATGAAAGAATCTTTTCTTGCATTTCTGACTCAGCAATCTCTTGGCCATTACCTCTTCAAATGGTATTATTGTAGCTCAGACTAGTTCCATTAGCATCCCAATTATGTTTCTGGAGTTTTCTCCTTTGAATAGCATGAATCAAAATGCACAGAGGCACACACAAAGAAGGCTTGCCAGTCTTAGTTATATATTATATTCTTCTGATGCCCTTCAATTCCTTCTCTTTTGAAAGCAGTGTTACGTACTTGCGATTGGATGGATCTGTTGAGCCGGAGAAACGTTTTGACATTGTCAAGGCCTTCAATTCTGATCCTACCATCGATGCTTTGCTCCTTACAACACATGGTTGATTCTTATTCTCGTCACTTTATCTTTTCACAATTTAGCTTATCTGATTGCATATGCTAACAAATTCACATTAACAGTTGGTGGTCTTGGTTTGAATCTGACATCCGCTGACACCCTTGTTTTCATGGAGCATGATTGGAATCCAATGCGAGATCATCAGGTAATCCTCTGTGTGTATGTGTTTAATTACAGTACTTTTGAGGGGAGATTATTACTCATTTGTAGGGAACGTTTTGCAGGATTCTAATTTAATTTAAAAAAAATATTTGTTCTCATTGTTGATGAAATTCGTTTATCATGGGTGCATTCTTTGTGTTGATTGATGTAATTATTTTTGCAGGCAATGGACAGAGCCCACAGGTTAGGCCAGCGGAAGGTTGTAAACGTCCATCGACTCATAATGCGCGGAACAGTAGAAGAAAAAGTTATGAGCCTTCAAAAGTTTAAAGTTTCAGTTGCCAACGCTGTCATCAATTCTGAAAATGCCAGTATGAAAACTATGAATACTGATCAATTGCTTGATCTTTTCACATCTGCTGAAACCTCCAGAAAGGTATTACTGCATTCATTGTTCATACCTATGATTCGTTCTGTAGCTGCAGATTCAACCTATTAAACCTGTTTCTCTCTGGGATTGATAACTGTTGATTAACTCGGTTCATAAAATGAAATGTAGGGAGCAACGTCGATGTCATCGAAGCAGTCAGATGAGAACTTTGATGGAGAGGTAAAAGCAATGGGTGGAAAGAAGGGTCTGAAAGCTATTCTTGGAGGACTGGAGGAACTTTGGGACCAATCTCAGTACACTGAAGAGTACAGTCTTAGCCAGTTCTTAGCAAAGCTCAATGGCTGAAGAAGTTCTTGTGCACACGCCATGTACAAAGTGTATATAAAGTGGGAGATGATTGAAAAGGCCCAAATTTTGACACTCTTTAACCACCAATAGGTTTCTGTCTTCCCTTAAACTCTCTTCCGTTCCTCCCTTTTCCCCCCAGAGGCTCATGCAGTTTTTTCAAGAACGGTCGGAGCGTACCGGATGACGATCTACTGAGAGGTGTAACGTAACATCTCGCAACTAATGCACTTTCAGGACTGGGAAGGAATGAGAATTTGTATATGTCGGATATTGTATATACGATTCATTTCACCTTTTAAATGAAATCCATTCTTCCATATCCTTCATTTTCAATGGAACGCTGTTAAGATTGTGCTATATTTGATGACACACCAATCTTCTCATTCAGCTTTCACATGCACTCAAGTGTTTATAATGCTACACCCACCATTGGTAAAGAATGGCCTTGCAACCGTTCAAACCCGACCCTAGTAGAATCGTATGCTGTACATGTAAGGAGTAAGTTAGCAATCGTTAAAGCACGACTATAGTAGAATCACATTATACATGCAATGGGTGAGCTTGTAACTATTATGGTAGGACCCTAGTGGAGTCTCATACATAAAGGGTCATGGAGTCATACATAATGGGTAGGGTCTCATACATAAAGGGTCATGGAGTCATACATAATGGGTGAGCTTGTAACTATTATGGTAGGACCCTAGTGGAGTCTCATACATAAAGGGAGTGATCCTGTATGTTATTGTCACGGCACAAATCTAGTAGAATTTCATGATTTACATTGCAAGAAGTGACTTTACATGTGAACTCATATCACGTAGGACATCCTGTAACTACAAGTTTTTGTATGTATTACTTATGTATACTAACCCTATAAGTCTAGATAGTTTACTATTAAAGATTAGTTCATGACTGAGTCCTCATATAATCTAGAGGAGAGCAGCCCGTGCTTGTTAACAACTGATATCCATGTGGACCATTGCTCTTATCTAGACAGTGACTAATAAACTCGTGATAGTCCCTCACAAAATATCCTAACCAAACTGAACCAACAAAGCTTAGAAGGAAACTCTAATTGCTACATAAAATAATTATCGAGTCAAACTATAACATATCATATATTTTTATGCTCAATTTTACATGTTAAACTCCTAAATTTATCTGAACAACCTACTTAAACAAACCCGTAACACTTGTTTTCTTCTTTCAAAATTTTCAAACGCCCTATTATAATCAAGGAAGTAACTCGGGGAATAAAGATACAAATTACTATTAAAATGGTGCAATCTCTCGCTCCACAAACCATAATTGTAATTTTTGTGATTGAAAAAATAATATTTACTAGGATTTTTTATTTTTACATGTCAATCGATATTTTTACATGTCCATAAATTTGATATAAACATAAGAGATGAATCGACATTTTTATTATATAGTAAACAATCAATTAACTTTGAATATAATATAAATAATAAAGATTTTAATTTATTAACAGTGTAAAATGTTTATTATTATTTATTTATTTTTTTAATATTTTGAAATTATTTTTCCATAAATATTCATCCATGGCGACGTCGCCGTACATATTTTTCCTAAAATTAATACCTCGACAAAATGGTGAAGAAACAGAGGCTTAAACCTGGTGTGTAGGGGAGGGCAGAGGTTTTGATGGTGGGTTTATGAAATGGGAAACGAAGAAAGTTTTGAAAGCCTGCTGAGATGGGCGGCGGATCACGGAATTTCAGATTCTGTCGACAAACAGTGTTCACATTCTTGTTTGGGTCGTTCTTTATGCGTCTGTTTCTTCCCTGATGCAGGCGGGTATGCTCTGATTTCTTGTTTTCGAGTTATATCACTCTGTTTTTTTTTTCTTTAACTCTATGTATTCAATTTTGAGGGAAGTTTTGCTTCAGGAGAGGTTTGGGGGCTGTTCGTCATCTTACCAAAGGAGAATTAGTGCTAAAAGTTCCAAAATCTGTCTTGTTGACGACCCAAAGTTTGTCGTTGCAAGATGAGAAGCTCTCCATGGCTCTGAAGAGATACCCATCTCTTTCTTCCACTCAGGTTCTTCCCTTGCTAACATCGGCTTTCCTCTTCTTTCTACACTCAGTTATGCATAATTAGCGCGAACTTTTGTGAGAAAAAGGTGCAAAATAACCTTTTGAAACCCTACAAATACATGGTACATTAAACATATCAAGAGCTTAAAAAAGTCTTTTGATGTTAAGAATACGTATATGTTAGTCTTGAACACAAATTATTTGTTCCCAATCCTAGTACTGTTGGTAAGCTGCCTATTAGTATGTGCAACAGTTATACAAGAGTGTGATCATTATACTGTAGACAGTGATTTTTATTGGTGTTTGTACAGAGGCTGATGAGAATCAACGAATTTACCTATATATTTTTAGGATTAAGGTTGAGTATTCAAGATAAGACCTCCATCCTATCACAAATTTAACCGATCAAAACTTGACTCATAAGATTGAAAAACAACTAGAAGAGTTTCTAGCAGAATCAGTCATCTAAAAGATTGAACTTAGACCTTCCAGGCAATGTACAACACAGGGGGAGTAATGGTTGATCAAAGAATTTCCAAATTGGGAGTCCTTCTACCTTCAATAATCAAGGAATTAAAGGAAACCCCCAATGGCTCAACCAGTAACATATCAGGAGCTAAGGGTAGAGAAACCTTACTTGAAGGAAGTCCAATAATCTTGAAACAGGTACCTTTGGAAAATATTTTAGGTGTGGGTAAACTTGATGAGGGGGAAACAACCATCTTGTTCAGTACAAAGAATCCTCAAAGACGCTCCATGTTCTCAACGTGTACGATCAGTGGATAGATTTGTAATGTTCTTATAGACGTTGGGAATTGAATATTGTAGCTTTATAACTACGTTCTAACCTCGCCCTATAGCCCATAGAAGGTAGGGTAGGAATTGAGAAGTGGAGAAACAGCTTTTCACAATCAATTGTGCAGAAGATTTTGTTTGGGCATTGGTAATTACGAACGGAGGAAAAAGGTTAGAACCAAAAGAACTACATTTTCTTATGGATTTTCTAGCTTAATTTCTGTCTCTACCTTATTGCACCTGGCCTACTATTAAATAAGTCCTAATGAGTAATCAATAAAGGACAAAAGGCCAAGGTTGAACCCGTGTGCAATCTCGGACCTGGATGAAACTTAGTGCATGTGCATGGATAGCACAAACATATACCAAATTACAATGAAATGTATGTTCCTAATCCCTCCGTTACTAGATTTTTTTAGATGAAAGAGAAGGTGCCAAGGCCTTCTCAAGGTAGATTTGAAAATGGTCAAATAGATACCGTTTGATTCACTTTTGTTCTGGGTATAAATAGGTGATGGCTTTCATTACTAGGGAAGGCATATTTGAATGGATGGTGATGCCATTTGAGCCATCAGATACCTGAAGCACCTTCATGTGCCTAATGAGCTAGGTTTTGACGAGTGATTTCATCTCAAAGGAGAGACCTGGGAAGAAACTTTAAGAATTACAAGCATGCCTGTCCCTTGAAATGGAAAAAGAGAAGGGATGTTATTCAAAGTTCCTTTATACATGAATGGCCATAGGTATGTTTAAAGATGTTTTATATTCCATTCTTTGTTAATGTTTAATAGTTCTTACCTTACTGCAACTGCGACAAAGATCTTTGGGATTTAACTTAATTTAATTCTCTTTTAAATTTGAAGTTGTTTATCTAAAATATTTCTGGTGTGTTTATCTGAGACATTATCCATTTTCCCTTGTTAGAATGTTCTAAAGGTTTACTAATATCAATTCCCCCCAAACTCAAATGCAGAAGTTGACCTTCTGCTTACTCTACGAGATTGGTAAAGGAAGCAGTTCTTGGTGGTTCCCTTACTTCAAGCATTTGCCCACGACTTACGAAACACTGGCAACTTTTGGAGAATTTGAAAAGCAAGCCCTGCAGGTTCAATTTTCGTTTTGTGCCTTTTTTTATTTATTTATTTCTTAGGATTATATTCATATTCATGAATCATATTCAATAATGATTTTTTACATGTGTTTTCGACTTTTTTTTTATAATAAAGAGTTAAAGTCTATTAACAGGTGGATTATGCCCTCTGGGAAGCAGAGAAGGCTGCTTCGAAGTCTCGTGCGGAGTGGAGAGGAGTTAAAGGACTAATGGAAGAATCTAATATTAAAAACCAACTCCAAACATTCAAGGCATGGCTCTGGGCCTCTGCAACTGTAAGCACACTGGATTCATGCTATAAGAATGTACTGCATCGTTAGATAAGACCTAGATTTATACAGAGTAGTCAAACCCACCACATTTTCTTCAAAGATTTGAAGTTTTTTTTTTAATTTTTATCGTTCTTCATTTTTGTTTGGTGAAAATTTTAATGCATCATTTAAACGTGGTTTTGCTGGAGGTCTCGTGTGGGTAAATTATGCAAAACAACTGTCCAAGGTCAGTGCAAATATGCTTTTCTTAAAGAAGAAAAAACCACCAAATGACACCCATTTGCTGATTATATGTCCTTCCATTACCCATTACCAGCCTGTAAGTATCATTAAGAATCCTATTCTATCTAATGGTGCCACCCTGCCTCTATTAGTTCACTCTTTTTCTTCCGACTTATGAAGCGGAAGCTTGCACGGCTTTTGAATCAGCCTGAACAATAAGGATACTAGGACGTTCATTCAAGTACGAGTGAATTTAGTATTCACATCCCATTTCCCATAGCCTTTTGTTGCCACAGAATATAACCCATCCTCTTGTTTATGAATGCCAGTTGTTTTGAAATTTTCTATTAGCCCTTCTTGTGGAGGTTTTAGTATTGTCCTGTCTTGTACATTATTCGATGATTCACTAAACATGAGAATGTTTTGGTCCGATGTAAATTTTCTCAATCTTAATCTCAGTTTATTTAACTTCTTTCTACGTTTAATAGTTCAATACTAAAAATATATGTTTCCTTTGAGAGATATCATCTAGGGCATTGTATGTACCATGGGATGAGGCCGGATGTTTATGTCCAGTTGGTGACCTGTTTAATTATGCTGCACCTGAGGCGGAGTCCTTTGATATTATGGATGTCTCATCCTTTTCCCAACATGCTTCTTTGAATGGAAACATAACTACTGATGGGTTACACAAAGAGGAACAAGATACTCAGCGGGCTTTGACAGATGGTGGATTTGAGGAAAATGTTTCTGCATATTGCTTCTATGCCCGGGAAAGTTATAAGAGAGGAGAGCAGGTATTTTATATTTTCTTGATGTCATTTAATATTTTGCACCCATATAAGAAGTGGAGTTGAAATCTTTCTATTGTTTGATGCAGGTTCTTTTAAGCTATGGTACATACACAAACTTAGAGCTTCTTCAGTATTATGGGTTTCTTCTTCAGGAAAATCCAAATGACAGAGTTTTCATTCCTTTGGAACATGACATTTATAGTTCCAGTTCTTGGCCTAAGGAGTCTCTTTTTATTCACCAAAATGGAAACCCATCTTTTGCTCTACTTTCTGCTCTGCGATTATGGGCAACCCACCCGAACAAGCGTAGAGGTGTCGGGCATCTTGCTTATGCCGGGTCTCAACTCTCGGTCAAGAATGAAGTATTAGTCATGCAGTGGTTATCAAAGAACTGCCATGCTGTTTTAAACAATCTGCCAACGTCGGTTGAAGAAGACAATCAGCTTTTGTGCAACATCTGCAAAATCCAGGATTTGCAGGTACCAAGAGAGCTCGGGAAGATGCCATCGACTGTCAGAGGCGAGTTTTGTGCTTTCTTGGAGACCAATGGCCTGGTGAATAGAGAGGAAACTGAGTTACAGTTAACTGGGAAAATTAAACGTTCTCTGGAGAGATGGAAACTGGCAGTGCAGTGGAGGATCTTGTACAAGAAGGCGTTGGTTGATTGCATAAGTTACTGCACCAGAACTACTTGTTCTCTATCTTCTTGATCTGGTTGGCTGTGATTACCAGGTTCTAACTCTCAAGACCTATCTCTTTTACATTCAAAGAAACTACTTGACATATTTTATGAAAAGAAGTTATTAGATCACGACAAATGTTGTGACATTATGTTATGATGAATGTTTAAATTGAGTGATCGGTGTCGAGATGAATGTTAACGTTGAGTGATTTATGTCACCATGTTGAACTCTCTATAGATCTTATAAGCGGTGATTCATGATTAGCGTTTTGACTCGTGGACCAGGTCAATAACAGTTATAAATCCTTTTCAGACTACACAAAATAATACTACTAAATTTATTTAGTTTGGATTCTTATACCGTGAAACATTTTATTTTTGTCTCCCTATGCTTTGATGTATATCATGGAAACCATTCATTTCCTATCCTCTTCTCACATGTCTCTCTTATCCTTTAGTTCCCCTCCTTGGACTCCTCTGGCGTCCTTTCAGTGGTCACCCATTGCCTCTACTTTTACCGCCAAGCTTCAACCCTTCGTGGACTCCTCTCTTAATGGCAACCCCTGTGGCAGCAGCTCCACTAACAGCACAGAATCCCTCTCAATCTCAAGGCTTGTACATAATAGATCAATTGTTGTTCCATTAGATGATCTACAAGCAGGTATATTGATGAATATGGTCATCACTTCTGCTCAAGCCCTCCGCTTGACCCGTTATATATTGTCGTCAGTTAGTAGATATTGTCCACTTTGGCATGTTACCTATCACTATCAGCCTCACGGTTTTAAAATGCCGTCTTCTAGGGAGAGGTTTCCACACCCTTGTAAAAAATGTTTCGTTCCCCTCTTCAACCAATATGAGATCACACCACACTAATTGTAGCTATTGTAACTGTTCGTTTTGCTCGGCTGCCATGTGCCTATGAGCCTAGCAAAAGCCCCTACTCAAGTCACCATAATTGAGCAGCAGCCCATGTGCCCCCATGAGATAAACAGATAACAATATTCATCACAACAGCAGATAAATATGAAATCTATATAAACAAGGGTAGTTTATTGATTGAAGGAAAAAAAAATGTCACGTCATGTCCAGATATATACAATTCTCTAACTAATAGAAACCCCCAAAGAAAATGGTGGATTGAATCAAAACCATCCTGACTTTGGCAGCCTATAGACTTATCAATCAAACATTCCTAAAGAATTTATGAATGATGATCCAATTCCAAAGCTATACAATATAAAGGTTGCAGCCTGTGATTCATGAACTGAGATTCTATGAGTTATTACCTTAACCAGAGGGAAGAGGAAAAGATCAAAGAATAATGGGACTCCAACTCAGAATACCAAGAAAGCCAAAAAAAAAAAAGGATAGAATTCACCTCTCATCTTATGAACTTAGTGTTAGAGAATCCTGAAAAAACGAGCTCTTCTACAAGCATCATCAATGGAGTCTGCCTCAACCTCCTTCCTTCACAGCTTCTGATGAGATTCAATAAGCAAAGCATTGAGCATTACATGAATAGCAGCTTCATATACAACACCATCATAATGCATCCCATCAACACTACATCGAACCCCACAATTCCAACTCAAAGTTTCAATATCAATCAACAATAGAGGCCCACCAGACGACCGCAGAAGCTTGCTTCTGCGGAGAGCTTCATCATAAGCCACCCTCATTGTATCACTCATCTTCTTCCTCTTCTCCTCACTGTTCAACATCGAGTTAATCAACGTTGGCATTCCAATCCAGAACAAATGTGGGGCTCTAATGGATACAGAGCCCGTCAAAGCCCCAGAACCCACTTCTGGAGTCAATGGAATCAGTGAAACAACAGAATTTCTAAGTGATTCTAAAGAAAACCCAAACTCTGATGCATTAGTAAAGTGAAGCATATGCCATAGCCCTGACCCCATGATTATAACATCAGGGTAGCTTCGATTTTGCTTGAATTCCACCATTAAATCAGTCAAATTAGAAGCATAAGGAGCCCAAATGAAATCCAGTTTCATCCCAGTTTCACTAACCAGAATTTGGTAATTACTATGCCGCTTGAACAGATCGCCTCTAATGGCTTCCATTCTTTGAGAATCCATCGTCAAATCCAGCAGTGATAAAGCCATCAATCTCGCCTGTGAATCACCGGCGACGACGACCCATGATCCATTAAGCAAATCGGAAGCATCCATCGGAGCCAATTTCTGAAAATCACAGGCAACAACAGGAGAAGATCTCCCCCATTTCCACGATTTCTCATAATTAACAGAGTTATTACTCAACGGGTTAAAGCCATCGCTCTGCTTGACCTCCCAGACGATTTCATGTAACTGAGAAACACACGAGACTCGGCTATCGAAAACGACGACAGAAGAAACAGTGGTAACGAAATCAGAAACCGAGGGAATGTAAGGCGTGAGATGAACACCGATTGCGAGAGTAATGAAAAGGGCTCCGCTGAAGAACAGCATCTTATTACGGCTTAAATGCCATCCGGCCATTCCCATCGGCACAAATAACACAACAAACGCAGCTAAAATACCCAATTGAACACCGCCAAACATAATAAACCCTCAATTTTCAACTTCTCCACCTACAAAACAGCCCTCGACAGAAGCAAATGATCCGATTTCAGAGGGTGCTTTCGAGACAGAATGGAGGTTTTGGATGTGGGTATTTCTGGGTTTGTTGTGTTCATTAAGAATCTTTGATTTCTTTGTAAGGGAGATCCATAAAATAGGTCGAGAGACTGAGAGAGGTTGGTGGGGAAGGTTTTCGGCTTGAAAAACAAGAAACCTGTCAATTTGTGGAGGGGAAAAATGACGCACCGTCGGTTCTGATCCAAAGAGGGGTTCGTTAAGAATGTTCATCGGTGGCCGGTGGTCTCACCGGAAGCCGGTAGCGTTTTTAACATTTTAGGCTTTATCACGAAGGGAAGTTCAAAGAGAAAGTTTTGTTAGTTTGTTTACCCTTAACCGAACATTAATTATCGTTCCAAAGCAGTCTATAAAGAGCATACCTGAAATATAAGCCTTCAGATAATTGATATTTCAACGATAATTGATATTTACTATCTCTTAGGACGGTGAAGACGTCCTTCTCAAAGTTTTCTTGGGCATAGGCCTTCCAAAAGGTAACTAAGGCGTGCAACAGTTTTCTCGGGCCTACTGAAAGTTAGCCCTTTGTGTGTAAAAGTAGAAAAGAACTTGACTGCAGGACCCAGACCTAATGAAGGTTAGTCCTTGAGTGTAAAAGTAGAAAGGAACTTGACTACAAGATCCACCCATCAAGCAGGGATGGGGCGGGGATGGGCATGAGGAGAAATCTCTCCCCATTCTCTCTCCTCTTCTCTATTTAAACGTATTATAACTTTAATCTCATATATATTATTGTGTATTATATATTAATATAAACTCATAAACTTTAATGCCAACAAAGTTCATCATATCGAAAAGAAGAGTTGCCAAACTGTGTGGATTAGAGACAAATTTGCATGATTTTGTTGGTATTAAAGAGAAAAAAAGGTACTAAGATGCCGTAGAGCTTCTGCTCTGAAAGAGTTGAGAAGGCAACCAAAGGTTTAGAAATCTTCTGCTCCATTGATTTCCTGCATATCAAATTTATCCAAAACATTCAACTCACTGTCCAAATTTCATAACCATGATCTTCTATAACAGATTTTAACTCCTCTTTCTCGTACCTTGTTTTCAATTACCGCGTTATCGGGCACAGCTAATTTTGCCTCGGGTTTACCCGAGATACTCACTTTTCCCTGTAAAATAGCAGGACAAAGACGTGTTCAAACTCCTGTAATGTCATTTCTTACGAGTCTCAAATCACTAAAGCATACAAACGTAAGCGTGTGAAGAATGAGGATGACGTGTAACGGGTAGTTACGTGTCTGTGTGGAGCCTGTAGGTTTTGATTTGGATAAATTATGTTCGTTTTGACTGTTCGAGCTGCAAGGTTGGTTTGAAAAACAACCATAACTAGCATTCCTAATTACAGGGTCATTATGTTATATGGTATCTGCTAATTGGATGATACATCAGAAACCAGAAAACAGAAGCAGATTCATACCTTGAGAACGACACCAGCCCCGAATGAAACATCACCAGCCACTTTAAGGCTATCGAGTTCAATGATGCTCGGGATCGACTTGAATCGGCTCAGGAAGTTACCAACCTGTAAAATTATAAGAAAAAAGTACAGTAACCAACATGTTCATATAAGATAGCAAGTCAAGAGAACAAATCCTGCCTTCTTGAATTCAGGCCCCAGTTCAATAGAAGGATTGGAAGCATCTTTTCTATCTTTGTTGCGAAGGACAGAGCCATCAACCAAAGTATAAAGATCAGACTGCAGAGAAAAGTAGACCATCAAATATTGGCTTGTTAAGAACATCAAACCAATAACAGTAGAGCCTGTGATGATGGATGAAAGAACTAACCTGGACAAGAAGCAAATCTGAAGTTGCCTTGACGGGAAGAAAACGCGATCGTGGTACGTTAATACCGATGGCATGATCAAAGAACTATTTGGCAGAGAATAGACAAGTACAAGGCATTAATATCCATGTATACTAACATAGCACACACCAAATCAAGAGTAAGTGTATACCCTGATTGCTGCACCAGCTGCTGTTTCAAGCTGAAGAACCTTGATCCCATCAACTTCCTAAGAATGATGACAGTATATCAGTCCCCTGTCCGTGTAAAAGCACCACTACAAATTCCAACTAAGGTGGCTATTTGTAACGCCCCAAGTCCACCACTAGCAGATATTGTCCTCTTTGAGCTTTTCTTTTTGGAGTTCCTCCCAAGGTTTTTAAAACGCGTTTGCTAAGGAGGGTTTTCATACCCTTATATATAAAGAATACTTTGTTCTCCTCCTAAACCGATGTAGGATCTCACAATTCACCTCCCTTCGGGACCCAACATCCTAGCAGACGCATTTTAAAAACTTTGAGGGGAAGCCCGAAAGAAAAAGCTCAAAGAGGACAATATGTACTAGCGGTGGGCTTGGTCTATTACATTTTCTATTTGCATGGGCCCGCATTACAAGAACAGAAACTACCTTGGGATTCGGAATAATCTCCATCTTAAGTGCATTGGCTTCCACAAGCCTTTTAATTGCTTGCAAGTTCACCCACCTGAATCATACATTACCAATAGTTTATTCGCAAGGCACTCTCAGTGATTGTTAAATGTGTATCAATCAAGAACTCTCCAGAAACATGGCTTACAAATTATTAGTGTTGAAAATTTTGAACTTCTCAATTGACTTGAATTCGTTTACCTATACCAAACAAAGAACAATAAAAGCATCTACTGTGATATGAAAAGCACAGCTAACTTCTTGAAAAACAAAGAGTTCTACCAGACATGAAGGAACATAATCATCACTGATATATACTCACGTGTTCATCAGGGACCTGAGCGATTTCGAGTAGCTGCACCATGACATGAAAAGAATGTTACAAGACGAAAAATATTTATCGTCTGCAGACCAACTAACCAGGTGGTGGTATAATATTCTGTAACATTATACCTGAACCTTCCCTTCATAAGAAATAAGAGTACCACCCTTCACATCAGCCAAGGTTTTCGGTGTCACCTACACGTAATCGATAACGAAAAATGTTAAAAGCACAAGAAACACTAAGAATAATAAACGAATATGTCGGAATATCTTTTTCCACACATAAAATGGTTGAACTTGTTTTCATACCTCCATGCAGTACTCATTCTTGTTGTGAATCAAATGGTTTAAAATTTCTATAATGTCCAGAATCAAGGATAATGAAAGCCCAAGGAACAGATTTCATGTTTCGTTTAGTAAGCAACAAGTAAGAAGTAAACTAAAGGCTTAAACGAAACTAAGGCCTCCGAAAAATTAAATATGGATACGTAAGTCCACGACAGCACCTAAGTTGTCGGAGTTCGCAACAAAGACATATTCCTTACCCTGCATAAGCAAACATGGAAAGTAAAATACGAGGAGAAATAAATACAAGGATTCATCGAAGTAGACATGTTCAGCGGGATCGTGTGAAAAGACCTGAGATATCAGAGCATCAAGTTTGCCACTGTTTTTCAAGGATGGGAAAACATCACCATGTCCAGGAGGGTACCTTCACATGAACACAAATACAAAGATATGAAGTACGTAGGCACGTATTGGCACCTCAGACTGAAACAAAAGCGGTTCTAGGCAAACACATTGTTAATTTTAATGAGAAAAGGCTCAAGGAGACAAAGTTGATCAAATTCTTTCGTGTACTAAACGAGTATCTATATCATACCATCCATCCTTGTCGGTGCGTCCTTTGCTAGGGAGTGGAAGATAGTCCTCAGAAACCAAACGTGGATATTGGCTCTGTTTATAATCCAATGAGAAAAAAGATAAACAATTCATTCCAAAGAATAAAAAGAAGACGTGAAAAAAGCTAACCCATCTCATCTTGTACTCACCTGGTTGAAAGTATGGATCTCCACATTTGAACCTTTGTATTTTTCAATGATCTGATATAAAGAAGAGTTAGTATAAAGCGCAAGATACTGAGGAAAACATGGGAAATAAGCATATACTGATTTTAAATACCTTTTGAGTATCTTCATGAGTGTTAAATGAGTTCATAAGAAGTAAGGGAACGTTGCACCCATATTTGGAATTGAGATTCTACCAAAAGTGACATGGATGATTCTCAAAATCGAGTATAAGAACCAAGGAACGTAAACGAAATCGTTTATGAGAGAACAGGGTGAGTAAAACCTCGATTTGGATAACAATCAAGTCGAGAAATGTCAAACCATTCCGGACTTCAATGACTGACCTGCAGCACAGAAGATTTCGACACTCACCAGCAATTCGAGGCTAAATCAGAAGATGTGTTAATACACGAGACTAAATTGAAACGTTTTAAACAATAGGGACTAAGATTGAAAAGCACTCAACATCAGGACTAAAACATATATTTAGCCTTGAGTAATGCAGTATTGGTGGCACGGATTTAAGTGCCTATGAGTTGAACTACTTGTGTATAAAGTCCTTGCAAACGACCTTGAGAAAGTCCTAAAGGGTATGAATTTCGAAGCTCAAGCAACCTATGTTATGGGGACGAAAATAATTGATCCTATGCTCATTGAAACTCATGGTTTAGTCTTTCAGCATGAATTTGGTAGCAAAAATGATAAAATGAATCAAATGCATGATAAGAACTTCAGCACCTCAGAAGATAATATGAGAAAAGAAAAATGAAAGAAAATGGGTCGAAAGGGGCGTACTTGGGACCGGTGCAGCCCATCGTCGTCCCCAAACCTCCATTAAGCTTCAAAACGACAAGCTTGTCCAATAGTTTCTTGGTTTCAGCAGGATCTACGTTAACAAAGAACTATATGAGCTTTCAATAAGAAAATATCATGAACAGAAAATGTAGACAAAATTAAGGAGAGGATACCATTAGGTAGAGGTGCCAAGGAATCATAAGGAACCACTACTTCGTCTGTTGGTGTCTGGATCTTGCTCCATTCAACATGCTGTGCTTCCCCACTTCAACCAGAAATTCAGAAAATCAAGAAGAATAAATTAGATTAGATTTCATATGCAACAGCCCAAGCACTAGCACTGCTATTAGATATTATCCGCTTTGGGCTTTCTCTCAAGGATTTTAAAGAGCGTCTACTGGAGAGAGCTTTCCACACCTATACAAAGGGTGTTTCGTTCTCCTTCCCAACCGACGTGAGATCTACCCCCCTTCAGGGTCCAGGGTCCTTACTGGCACATTGCCTCATGTCCACCCCCCTTCGGGGCTCAGCCTCATCGCTGCACAACGCCCTGTGTTTGGCTCTGGTATCATTTGTAACAGTCCAAGCACACCGCTAGCAAATGTTGTCCTCTTTGGGCCTTCCCTTTCGGCCTTCCCCTCAAGGTTTGATAGGGAGAGGTTTTCACACCCTTTAAAGATTCAGCAAATTCTTTTTGGTTCCGGATTGAGATTCAGCAATTGTTCCTTCCCAACCGTACCACGCTTATGATGAAATCCATTAATCAATTCTTTTTGGTTCCGGATTGAGATTCAGCAAATTTCCACATGAAACTCTCTTGATTCAAATGAGGGGAAGAACATCCTGTTAAACGAACACGACTCTCTACAATGGTATGATATTGTCCACTTTGAGTATAAACTCTCGTGGCTTTGTTTTGGGCCTCTCAAAAGGCCTCATACCAATGGAGATAGTATTCTTTGATTATAAACCGATGATCATTCCCTAAATTAGCCGAGGTGGGACTTTCATCCAACACATCCCTCTAGAAAGTGATATCAATAACTAAACATGTTCTAACAAAAAAGTAATATCAACAAACAAAAGCGCCATTCTCAAATGATATCAATCATGAATCTGAAAGCTCCACTCCCATTGCAAGGAACAACAATACACATTAGAAATTACCTGAGATAGCGAGAGACAAGGTTGACAAATCCAGATTTCTCATTCTCACTGCCAAAACCAATAGAGAATCAGATCTCATAACCCATTGCAGCACAAAATCAAACAAAACAGAGATCACAACCCACAACCTATTTCTCAAACAGATCCCACAGATCCAAATCACACCAAAAAAAATGCCACAAATACACAAATACAAATGGATTTACATCCACATTTCCATACCTTATCTGGGTCAGCCCAGAAACAGCAGCTTGAAGCTTAGATAGCTTCTCACTATCAGCAGGACTAAGAGTAGCAGCAGAGGCCATAGTGCAACAAAATCAAACTCCCAAGAAAACAAAGAATGCAGAGCGAGAGAAATGAGATAAAGAAGACAACCCAATTGAGAAAACAGGGAATTTATATGAAAAACAGAAAGAATCCTTCTCTAGGAGCACAGATTGCGAAGCAAAACGTGGTGGGAAATGGGCGGTTAGAGGAATTGGGGAGTGAGTGGCGAGTGAAGGGGTTGGAAACGAGCGTTTTTGAGAAATTGAAGACGAGTGTACAAAAGGGATTATTCTGATTTGAAGTCTAATATTGGGTCGGGTTTATTATTTAATAATTATTGTTTGAATAAAAAAAAAAAAAAAAAGACTGTAATTCAAATAATTTTGAATTTGTCATGGGCTCTCAGCTATACATCTAGTAACACCACCAAACATATCTTTATGTCGTTATCTTAACAAATCCGACTATAGAAAAAATTGAATATATTTAAATCGTTTATATGTGTTAAAGAATGATTAATTACATCAAATACAGTATCTATGATAAACCGTAATTAAAGACTAAATATCATATAAGATAATGTCAAAGTCATCCGATATCCAATTTTGATTACAAATCATGGGTAAAGACCGTTATAAAAATATTTTCTTTTAATTAAAGAAAATATTAAAGGCTATAATTGGTATATGGAAAATAATAACCGTCAATTTCTAAATTTATTAAAATTTTGATTTGACTTGTGAATATACACAATTCTTAATTAAATTAAATGTGAATTAACTAATTTCCAAACAAAGGTCAGGAAATTTATTAATTTTTAATCAAAGACGAAGATAATAGAAGAAAAAATAACTTTGCCCAGATACTTTCATCTAACTTTAAGAACATGATCGAGTCAAATTTGACCGGTATTCTAATTATATTTGTGAATTATAACATCAATGTGTGTGTGTCGGGTCATGCGTAGAGAAGTACTATACATTTAATCCTACCCGGATTGGAAAGTAGAGTTCAAGGTCATACCATGATGTTTTTATAAAACGATAGGTCTCACCATGATTACTTGTATTTGCATTTCACGACTCTAACTAACAGTGAGACTACTTATTAAGTATTTTTAAATACTGGAGCAATGTGTTACTCGTTTTCAGATAAAGATAAGACACTCATATATATTTTAATAAATGTTATCGATGATTTCCAACTATGTTATTATAACAATATTGTTTTAAATAAGTTTACGACATAGTTTATGAAATATTTTTACTAACTTTTTCAAACATAATACGATATCATAGATTTAAACGTTTGAAGTCATAGATTCCATCTATTTCTGGTACAAACTTTACTCTTCATCACGGAAAGACAAAGCCCCCACAGATTTCAATGCCATGTTGTGGCCAACATTGGATGGTCAAATCGTGTAGAAAATGACCGGAAGCGATGGTTTTGTAGGTGAGGAGAAAAGAGGCTCCCTCGTGATGCTAACTAAGGTCATGGAATTCAAAACTTTCAATTACCGTTTATCATAGGTATCATATTTAACTTTTCATTTACTTTGTAATTTATTCGATTTCGTAAATGATTACAATGGTCTCCATTTAGGTGATGATTTTAGCAAATATTCTCACATTGGATGGGAGACAAATTTTTATTGAAACCTTTTTAAGAAGAAAGTCGATGTATTTTAATTAATTGAATTATGTTCAATTAACTGTAACAAACATTTATTATCATCTCTAATATTTATTTTCTATTTTTTAATTATGAAAATATCAACCTCGACCGACTTACTCAATTTTTGGTCACGTTAGCAATTGACAATGGGATTAATTGTTTCAGTGAGGCTATGGTTTATCGTGAATTATTTTTATTTTATTTTTAGTTAAATTAATAAAAATATTTATGATTCATTCTAAAAATACTTATAAATTTTCAAAACTTTCAATAATACCTTAAAACTTTTAACAAATTTTCAAACATACCCAAAGCTTGGTTACCATCTTTTTACTTAAACAATTTTTAAAAAACTATCCTTAATTAATATCCTTCGCTCTATAAAAAAAATTCAAATTTTATTACTGTTTATATATGAACAAGAATGGTTTATTATCGTCTCAAAAATTATCTCCAAAAATTTTAATATAATCGAAAAATTTAATAAATTTGAACTCTTTTGAAAATTTAAAACTAATTTTTAAATTTTTATAAAAATTTATAAATATTTTTGAGACCGTGTTAAATTATTATATTACCAACTAAATTGATATAAATTAAAATTTATGGATTAAATTGTTATTAAAGGAAAGTTAATTGTAATTTTCATTAAATATATATATATAGATATATATATATATATATATATATATATATATATATATGTATATATATATATATAAAATACAGTGGAAAAGGGAAATTTGAAGCGTGTTGGTCCATTGGTGAAACGAAGAGAAGAAGAAGAAGAGTGAGTTTGGACGGCACAGTCTTCTTCATTCCTCCAAAGCTTTCCCCTTCCCTCCTTCCATGGCGTCGCGCCTCTTTCTCCTCCTTCTCCTCACAATTTCCCTCTCACTCTCCTCCGATGCCCGCCCTTGCAAGTCCCTCTTCGTTTCCTTTTCCCTTCTCCGCCACCGAACCCTCGATTCCCGCCATCATCCCTTCTCCGAGATGGCCCTAATCGTCGACATCACCGAGTTCAAATCATCCTCCCTCTCCCTTCCCGACGACATCCTCCTCCTCGATCTCCCTCGTCCTAGGCCCCACTCGCTTCATCAACACTTCCCTTTTGACTTCACCTCTCTCCGTGATCGCACCAAGGATATTCTCACCGTTGTTGTTGCTCTGCTCTTCGGCGTCGGCTGCGGCGCTCTCACTGCTGCTACTATGTATTTGGCGTACTCATTGTGCGCTGGTCGATTTGGGGATCGTTCTTCTGTGTATGACGATTCTGAGGAGGAGGATGACTTTAGTGATGATAACAAGGAGAACATTAAGAAGATGGGTTACATCAAGATCACCGACGACTCTGCTCCTGTTAAATCAGTGGTATGATCATTTATAGATATGTTTCCCTAACCTTGGCATGTTTGATCTCGTAATAAGAATTATACTTGATGCCCAATTCTGGATTGTAATTGTCTTATTTTCGAATGAATCTCTGCAGTATTATGTGAAAACTATGTGGTTAGTGATCATTTTATTTCAAATATGTGTTTGTAATCGTTTTGCTTCGTTTTGGATTTCAATCAGTTAGAATATGTTCATTGTTCCATTTTCCATGGTTGAGAATTCTTGCTCTGTTTCACCCATTCCTTCGTTACTGCTTAGTTTTTAAAATTTGGCAATTGTTTGCTTCATGTTGAACAAAGTCACTGTTAGATTTTAGATGTACTGATCGAAGGAGTCATCTCTATGCTGTGATGTTCTTGAAGTTATGTATGGTTCAAATGATGGTAGCTACCTATTAAGATTTTTACATATTTATTGTAGAGTTTGATGGTTGTCACGTAGGAAGAATCGATTTTTTTGGAAATTGGATGTAGTTACTAATTCATGATCTAGCATGTAGAGAATGAAAATTTCATTCTCGATTCTAAGCAAGCAATTTGAATAGGGATTATGAACAGGCAATCAAAGTTAAAGTCGTTTTGTTAAGTGAAATTGAAAGGCCCATTCTGTCGGTGAGAGAATGGAAAGAGGGATTGAGAGAATGGAAAGAGGGATTAGACCAACTCTAGAACTTTGAGGCTACTTAAAAGCCAAAACAAGAGCAAAATATCGGCACTGCGGTCCAAGCTTAGTGTCGATATTTAGTATATTGAAGGTTGCACGAAAGTGATTATTATCACGCAAGATCATATCCAAGCTTAGTGCTTTAGCTGAAACACCAGTTATTCCCGGTGTGTGTCGCGCAAACGAGACTCGTAAAAAGCTATGACGACATCTCTTAGCCTCCGTTTCTTTAAGGCCCTTATGGCTTACCCTTTCTCTCCATATATCTACATTGGTCCTTCAGCTTATAGAAGCCTAAATAAGGAGTAACTCAAGTTTTGCAGTTAGTTCCAAAGTGTTTGCAGCCTATATCTTCAACTGGTGAAGAACATATTTTAGAGTTACCATTTTACCTCCCTGTGAATTCGATGATTTTACCATTTTACCTCCATGTGAACATATTTTAGTGTTACCATTTTACCTCCCATACCTCCTTATAATCTGGTTCTCTCAAGAGATTTTTCCTGATATGAGCCTTCTCATCATTATTGCTAATTCCACTGAAACTCAGAAACTAAAAGAATATGAGAATGGGAAGATGCAAAATTAGCCAGAACAAAAGAAAAACAAAGAAAATACTAGACGGGTCGACCGTAAATTCGGATTTACGTGTCTACTACTTGCCCTCCAATAACGGTTAATATTGTTCTTCAAATAAACCGATGCCATAAGACGAAGATCGGGCTGAGAAACTAAACCTGGTGAAGTGATCAGCTCCAAGAGACATGAGTGAAACCCATATCGACTATCAGTGTCAGATAGCGCCAACTCTGCCTGTTTACGAACACCCTCATCACCACTCGTTGAATTCATTAATAACGTGTACATAGCTGCCATGTCTAATTATAGAGTTGATCATGGATTTATCAGAAATACTATCTTTAATAGCAAACTCCAGAGATTATGATAATATCATATCTACTTAAAGTGGATAATATCATATCATCGTGGTGAATCGTAGTCGTATTTTCTAATAATTTCTAATAATGACATTTCCATTTTGAAATTAAATGTGAACATTGACCTGATGCTCCAAAAAGCTCCCAAGAAAATGTCCTAATTCTCGGATGGACTTTCCTAATTCTGGCTTGTAATGCCCCCTCCCTGTTCTATTTTTTATTTTTTTTATTTTTTTTATTTTGTGTTTGTTAAATATATAAATCTTTAGTTAGGAGTCTAACAAACTTCTAAAAAATCAATTTTTTTCTTTACCAAATATCTCGATTATTTAGAAAAAAACGAAGGGCGTGTTGTGTTTATCTTAAGCAATTTGCTTATAGTACTAATAATCAATGCAGTAATTAAATTTCATTAATAATCAATGCAATAATTAAATTTCATTTTTGGAAGCAACTAAAACAAAATGGTCAAATTTACTAAATTATAGAAAAATTTATTAATAAAATTTAAAAGAATAATGACTTAAAAAGATTTCACGGTATTCTGGAAGCTCACAGCATTGGTTCTAATAATCCCCAACTCGTTCTAAAAAAATATAAGATTTTGTGTAATAATTTTTTTATATTCATTGTCAAAAAAATAATCACAGAAATCCAAACGTTTTATCTATCCATCCATGCAAATCAACTCCCCTCCCTCTATACAAATTCTCCTTATCCTTGAGAATATTTAGCCTTCTAATACGATTTAACATAAGTATTCTGTTCTTTTATTTGGGTAAATATCTTGTATTCTCTTTCTATTTTCTTAGTAATTTATTAAATTCTATAAATAATTATAAATAGAGAATTTTACCATTCAGCAAATATTCTATTCTCAATATTCATACTAGTAGCTGCTTCCATAGATCATATTCTTCACCAGCACTGCCAGACAATGAAGCAGCCATTGAAGAAAAATGGTTGTAAATGCTGCTTTTATATCAAATGGCAGAATACAAATATGGTTTTAAGAGAATCATGAGGCTCCACGAGGTACCCCAGAAAGAGGCTGGGCAATAGCTAAAGGGTTAACTTGGTATGAAAATGCAAGCTGCCACAGGTCTACCATTGCTTTCTTTGCGGACAAAGCTTGTTTCTGAGCCATCCTGAGAGATTAGAAAACCAACACATTCAACATAATTATCAATAAAATATTGCCAAGAAACGATAACTATATTTAGAATGGCATTTTAAATGCTTAAGAGAGTATTTTAAAATGAAAAGAAAATGCTTTTAATCACTTAGAAACTTAGTCTAAAATGATCCTTGAATGTTTACAACCAGTAGAATCTAATTCGCGTTAAAAAACGCTTTTACCCCTTGAAATCCCTGTTCAAAATTTTTATAAAAAAAAAAAAAAAAAAAAAAAAAAGATCAAAATAGGATCAGATAATACTTTGAAAATTCTAAAAATACCAAAAACTAGTGAAGGCAAAGCACTTCAGCTCAAGAAACAACATATTTCAAATTTGTCTACCCGGTAAGATGCAAATCTACAGTTAATTTTTCAAAAAAACTGTTTACGAAGTACTGTATCCCTAAAAACAGACATTTATCAAAACTTTGACCCACAAAGAAGACTTCTTAAGCTAAAATATCCTTCATCTATTAAGTTGAACCTCTAACATGCAAGTGCTTCTCAATGTTCGCATTGAGCACTATGATATAGAACTGCAAGCAAATGATCAGTAATATGCTCTTCATTTGACAATAAACATACCTCTTCAAAGTGGTTAGTTTCCTTCGCAGTAGATAATAGATTAGCACAAACAAACAGCTAAGCAGAACCCTTCTGGTGGATATGATCAGCCGAGTACTTCCAAACTTCAAAGTGATTGTACGGAACGGCCAAAACCATGGTTTTGTAAGCTTATGTAGCTTTAGAACCGTTTCTCTGTTAGCATTCCCTCCATCTGGATGATATCCAGGATCTAAGGCTGTTTTTGAAGCTCTTGATTCTTGACGATCTTCCGAAGAAGATAAATGTGCTTTATGGTCATCTTTATGCAAAGAAGATGGGGACGATTGAGACAAGCTGGCAGCTTTAAGAGACTGCTGGTAGTCTAGTCTCCTCAAAAGTACCTAGCCAAAGAGTTGAAGGAAAAACAAATAAGGAAATGGAAATTGAACGTAACAGAAAGTGAATGTGAGGGAGATGCTCCTCTACTTTGAGGGAGAAAAAACTTTAAATTCAAGACTAGAGGAAGACAGTGAGGGTATTCGGGCAAAACTAGGTTTAGGTGCAAATAAAATTAAGCCACATATACAGAAATTTACAAACTTCATTTCTCCAAGTCATAAATTTTTCTCCAAGTTTTCTTTCAGATCACAATGATGCAACAGAGTACTGAGAAAGATGGTAATAATAGGATTGAATACTTCATCCGTCCGAATTCCTTGTTGAAATTCTTGGAGATGCATAAACAAAGATGAAAAATGTAGTGAACTGATGAACATTGAGAAAATAGTAGAGCCATTATGAAGTTGTATAAGCAGGAGATCAAAACCAAGAAAAAAAAAGATTCAATACCACGCTGGACACCCTCGAAAAAGGAAAAGAGTTAGAACAATAGAGAAGAAAAATAAATGAAATGAAGAATAAGCACAAGAACATGGCTCGGGCATATTTCGTATTCAATTCATCTTAAACCAAGCATATATATTTACCTGACGCTTTTCCTCAGGTAAAGCAGCTTTCTCAACCCAAGAAACAGCAAGATCCACGTCCTTCAAACCTATCTCCATGAGCGTCTGGAGGTAAACTTCAACAACTTGAAGATATTCATCGACAGTCAACTGAGCATGATCATCATAATGCTCTCTGTCATCAATATTTCTTGCGCCAGCAAGAACATATATTTCTTCATTCAATAAACTCCACTTGCTAAGGAACTCTTCTAGAAAACATCGCATATCAGAAAGACCTTCTGAGATCTGAAGACACGCCCTAAGAAATTGACCATTAACGATTAAAACATGCTCACAGCAATATGACTCACCCACGCTTAACATCAGGAAGGTTGTAGTATTAATTTGTAGATAGAATGCCACCAAGTTATGATTTATAGCCACAAAGGTATCTGAGTTCACACCTTGGCCAACCATTGGGCCAAGACATTATGCCTTAGCTATATTGAGATTATTTCATCAATTTACAGACATTGCAATTAAAGAGAACCAACCAAGATCATTTTGCTTTCCCATGATAGTTGAATACATGCTCGCATGATCAATAAATGGACAGGACAATCAAATGTATTACAAGACTAGTGACATTATATGGTTCTCTATTTTCCTCTCTAGGCAGCGGTTATAAAATCTCTTTTTGCAATTCTACATTAGGTCGTCTTATTGCTCTTGCCGGGAGTTCCTTCCTTGAATGGAACTTCCATTTTGTGGGCTTTTTTTTTTTTTTTTTTTTTTTTTTTT